AAACAAGACAAATTTTATAAGAGAATCTATAATAATTTAATCTTAGAACATTTAAATAATGATGACGAACAAGGCTCAAAGGTTTTATTGCAAAAAAAAGACCATATTCAACCGTCAGAATTACACGATGACTATAAAATGATTGAGCCTTGGAAATATTCACTTGATGATATGGGATGGATATTATTTGGTTGTCCGCAACATTCAGTTTATCTCGACAAAGAAAAGAAGGTTCTACTTTTGATTGGAAATATGACGGTTCAAGTTTGGCATAATCATGATAAAAAAAAAAGAACTCTTAGGACTCTTGAATTTATTAGTGTAATAGTTAAGAGTTATAGTAACGATGTTGAAAGAATTCAATTAATTGAAATGAGGGTGATATTGATATAATTAATGCTGTTAAGGAAGCTTGTCACATACTTAAATATCTATATCAGATATTTTAAGTACCTAAACATACTGCAGCATTAGCTATTAAAAGTTGCTCCTCAAGATACCAAAAAAAGTCAAACAAACATGAAATATTATCGTAAGATATATTTAGCGATATCCAATTGTTTGGCGATTATTAGATTTTTACTTTGATTTATTGAGTATTCTCATCGATGCGAAGGAATATTCACTTATAAAATACTTATTATTTAGCAAAAGTAAAGATGCCGATGATGTCAATAATCCCGAAAAAGAGCGTATTTTTAAAATCCTTGATTGTATAGCATCCAAACTTGAAATCGAGTTTAAAATCCTTGATTGTATAGCATCCAAACTTGAAATTGATAAGCTTGAAATCGAAAACCAATTTTCACAAGATATCAAGTCAGTTTGCGATAGTTTATTGCATAAGAAATTACTCCACATACCACAGTATAAATCGTGAGAAGGTAGATATAGTGTGATACATAAAGCACTTTTAAGTTTGTTTATTTAAATTAATGCTAATTATTTGCAACACATTTTACATATTAGATATTAATTTATTAATCATTCTTTTCATTAGATGACAATCCAATATTTCTAGGCTATTTTTAGAGTATTATTCTAATAAAGCAGTCAAAAAAATCAGATGGATGATTACGGTTAGCGAAATTATACCAAAACTATATGGTAAAGAGAATAAAAATAAAGAAAATATAAATAAAGAGAATAAAAAATAAAGAGAATAAAAATAAAGAAAATAAAAATAAAGAGAATAAAAATAAAGAAAATAAAAATAAAAAGAATAAAAATAAGGGAAATGAAAATAGAGCAGAAAAAAAAACTACCTAAAAATTAAGGGAAAATTACACTTAATCCCTAATATAGCCGCAATAAGGCCAACACAAACTAATCTCTCATACGCACGTACCTCGATTGAAGCATTTTATTTGGGGTTTCAAGTCTTGCTCTTA